AGGACCGACGTCTTCTCAAGGAGAGCCCACCCTTCCCCTCTTCTTCCTGTTTCCACCTTTTATTGCTGAGTGTGACATCACATGGTATGGAATATCCCTTTGATTGGTTTAGGTCAGCTGCCCTAGTGATGTTTCTCTCCTCACTTTTTGCCCACCCCCTAGGAGGGTTAGAGAAAGGCCCGATGCTGTGCCACTGCTGCTCAGCAGTAGACACAACACTGGTGTGATAACACTGCTGTTCCAGCTACAAGTACAGAGTACAGCACTGTATGGGCTGCTGCCGGGAAAGATAACATTCCAGCCAGGCCCAGGGAAGCGCCACAATTCTGTGCCACAATTCACAGTGTCACAGAATCACAGAATTTCTAGGTTGGAAGAGACCTCAAGATCATCAAGTCCAACCTCTGACCTATCGCTAACAGTCCCCACTAAACCATATCCCTAAGCTCTATACCTAAACGTCTTTTAAAGACTTCCAGGGATGGTGACTCCACCACTTCCGCGGGCAGCCTGTTCCAGTGTCTAACAACCCTTTCGGTAAAGAAGTTCTTCCTAACATCCAGCCTAAACCTCCCCGGGCGCAACTTAATCCCATTCCCCCTGGTACTGTCACCAGGCACGTGGGAGAACAGACCAACCCCCACCTTGCTACAGCCTCCTTTAAGGTATCTGTAGAGATCAATAAGGTCGCCCCTGAGCCTCCTTTTCTCCAGGCTGAAGAAGCCCAGCTCCCTCAGCCGCTCCTCGTAGGACTTGTTCTCCAGGCCCCTCACCAGCTTCGTCGCCCTTCTCTGGACCCGCTCAAACACCTCAATGTCCTTCTTTGTAGCGAGGGGCCCAAAACTGAACACAGTACTCGAGGCGCGGCCTCACCAGAGCCGAGTACAGGGGGACGATCACCTTCCTAGCCCTGCTGGTCACACTGTTTCTGATACAAGCCAGGATGCTGTTGGCCTTCTTGGCCACCTGAGCACACTGCTGGCTCATATTCAGACGACTGTCCACCATCACTCCCAGATCCTTCTCTGCCTGGCAGCTCTCCAACCACTCGTCTCCCAGCCTGTAGCTCTGCTTGGGGTTATTGCGCCCCAGGTGCAGGACCCGGCACTTGGCCTTGTTGAACTTCATGCATTTGACCTCAGCCCATCGGTGCAGCCTATCCAGATCCTCCTGCAGAGCCTTCCTACCCTCGAGCAGATTGACACATGCGCATAGCTTGGTGTCATCTGCAAACTTACTGAGGGTGCACTCAGTGCCCTCGTCCAGATCATTGATGAAGATATTAAAGAGGACCGGCCCCAGTACCGAGCCCTGGGGGACGCCACTAGTGACTGGCCTCCAACTGGACTTGACTCCATTTACCAAGACTCTTTGGGCCCAGCTATCCAGCCAGTTTTTAACCCAACGAAGCGTGCGCCAGTCCAAGTCAAGAGCAGCCAGTTTCTTGAGGAGAATGCTGTGGGAGACGGTGTCAAAAGCCTTGCTGAAGTCAAGGTAGACCACATCCACAGCCTTTCCCTCGTCCACCCAGCGCGTCACTTTGTCGTAGAAGGAGATCAGGTTCGTCAAGCAGGACCTGCCTTCCCTAAACCCATGCTGACTGGGCCTGATCGCCGGCTTGCCCTGCAAGTGCTGAATGATGAATCTTCCAGAGAATCTGCTCCATGAGCTTTCCTGGCACTGAGCTCTAACTGACAGGCCTGTAGTTTCCCGGGTCAGTCCTCTGGCCCTTCTTGTAGATGGGCGTCACATTTGCTAGCCGCCTGTCAACTGGGACCTCCCCCGATAGCCAGGACTGTTGATAAATGATGGTAAGCGGCTTGGCCAGCTCCTTTGCCAGTTCTCTCAGTACCTTTGGGTGGATCCCATCCAGCCCCATCGACTTGTGCACATCCAAGTGCTGTACCAGGTCACCAACCAGTTCTTCGTGGATAGTGAGGGCCACATCCTGCTCCCCATCCCCTTCCACCAGCTCAGGGTACTGGGTACCCAGAGAACAACCGGTATTGCCGCTAAAGACTGAGGCGAAGAAGGCATTAAGCACCTCCGCCTTTTCCTCATCTCTTGTAACTAGGTTTCCCCCCGCATCCAGTAAAGGATGGAGATTCTCCTTAGTCCTCCTTTTTGTGTTGATGTATTTATAAAAACATTTTTTGTTATCTTTAACAGCAGTAGCCAGATTGAGCTCCAGATGAGCTTTGGCCTTTCTAATTGTTTCCCTGCACAGCCGCGCAACATCCTTATAGTCCTCCCTAGTGGCCTGCCCACTTTTCCAAAGATTATAAACCCTCTTTTTTCTCCTAAGCTCAAGCCACAATTCTCTGTTCAGCCAGGCTGGTCTTCTTCCCTGCCAGCTCGTCTTTGGGCATGTGGGGACAGACCGTTCCTGCGCCATTAAGATTTCCCTCTTGAAGAGCGTCCAGCCTTCCTGGACCCCTCTGCCCTTCAGAACCGCCTCCCAAGGGACTCTACCAACCAGTGTCCTTAGCAGCCCAAAGTCAGCCCTCCGGAAGTCCAATACAGCAATTTTACTGGTCCCCTTCCTGGCCTCGCCAAGAATAGAGAACTCCACCATTTCGTGGTCACTCTGCCCAAGACAGCTCCCGACAATCACATCCTCCACCAGTCCTTCTCTGTTTGTGAAGAGAAGGTCTAGCGGGGCACCACCCCTGGTAGGTTCACTAACCAGCTGCGTCAGGAAGCTATCTTCCACGCTCTCCAGAAACCTCCTAGACTGCTTCTCTGGGCTGTGTTGTGCTTCCAGGATATGTCAGGGAAGTTGAAGTCCCCCATGAGAACAAGCGCTGAAGATTTCGCAACATCTGTCAGCTGCCTGTAGAACTCCTCATCCGTCTCCTCATCCTGGTTTGGCAGTCTATAACAGACCCCGACCAGGACGCTAGCCTTGTTGTCCCTGCCGATCCTAACCCAAGGGGACTCGACCTTGTCATTCCCAGCCTCGAGCTCTACAACATCAAAAGACTCTCTCATACAGACAGCCACACCACCACCCCTTCTGTGCTGCCTGTCCCTTCTGAAGAGCTTATAGCCAGTCATTGCAGCACTCCAGTCATGAGGCCGGTCCCACCACGTCTCCGTGATGGCAACCAAGTCGTAGCCTGCCCGCCGCACGATGGCTTCCAGCTCCTCCTGTTTGTTACCCATGCTGCGTGCATTGGTGTAGATGCACTTCAGCTGGGCCATTGCCTTATCCCCCGGCCTTACTATTGTTCCCTCTGGCACAGCTCCAACAATCCTTGCTTCAGCCCCATCCCCCTTCTTACCTAGTTTAAAGACCTCTCAACGAGCCCTGCCAGCTCCTGGCCCAGGATCCTTTTTCCCCTAAAAGATAGGGACCCGTCTGCGGCCATCAGGCCGGGTGCCGAGTAAAGTGCCCCATTGTCGAAAAACCCAAGATTTCTGTGTTGGCACCAGCCCCTGAGCCACGTGTTTAACAGGTGGGCTTTCCGTGTCCTCTCTGGACCCCTCCCTGCCACTGTAGGGATGGACGAAAACACCACCTGCACTCCTGCTCCATCCACTAACCGTCCCAGCCCCCTAAAGTCTTGTTTGATAGCCTTCAGGCTTCTCTCTTCAATGTCGTCACTACCTGCCTGGACTATCAAAAGAGGATAATAGTCAGAGGGGCGTACCAGGTTGGGAAGCTTCCTAGCAACGTCCCTGACCCTGGCCCCAGGGAGGCAGCAGACTTCCCTACTGGTAGGGTCAGGCCAACAAATAGGGCCCTCTGTTCCCCTAAGGGTAGAGTCTCCCACAACAATAACCCTTCTGTCTTTCTTGGTGGAGGCAGTCCTGAGGCGTGGAGTTGACCTCCTTGCCCTAGACATCCTCCTGGGAACACTTGCTACCTCTTCCTCACCCACCGGTCTCTCGAGCTCCACGGCCTCAAACCTGTTGTGTAAGGGCACCTGGGAAGGTGGGACCGGAAGGGGAGGGCATCGCTTGCGATGTCGAGCAGGGACCTGTTTCCATTCCTCCTCAACTCCCAGATCCCCTCCCTCTGCCCAACGGCAACAGGGCAGGGGTCTGTTAGGAAGCACGGCCAAAAGCACGACAGACACCGGTTGAGTCAGATCATGCTGCTCCATTTTATTGCCTGAACGGCCTAACTTTTATAGTGAACTTAACAGGGGTGGACAGTGTTTCACACAAGATTATCAGTCAAAAGCACTCAGACAAACAACTAGAAGAAAACAACCCCCCTTGTGATTAGCAGTCACGTAGATCTTGTCCTTGAAGTCAGCTGCTGGTAACAATATTTTTCTGAATTCCTCAATTGGGCAATGTGGGAATCATTGTCGTGGGAGCTTCTCATAGTTATTCTGGTAGCTTGGTTTGCTCAGCTACAGCAGGCCATGAGATTTTCTAAGGCCTACTCCTGGTTGCTGAAGGCAAGCTCAGATCAAACAATTGTTCCACGGACTCATGTGCAGGCCCTGTATGCCAATTCCCAACAGGGGTCCACCCCCATTTGGGGTGTCTCACCTCGATACCTCTCCTTGAGACCCTGCAGGGAGTAGCTCCACAAGTCTATCTCCCGCTCACACTCCCTGATATCCCTCAACCTCTCCACCTCGAGCTCCACCACCATGCGGACCAGGTCATCCACCTACTCGCACCTCACGCACGCAGTCTCTCTGCCTCCCGCTGATGGCAGGAACAGGCTCAGACACTCCTTGCATCCGGTGACCTGAACTGCAGCATTTTTTAATGGGCAGTCGGTCTGGGTGTGTACCGACTTCCTGGAGAGCGCACCGTGCCTGGTGGAGACCGTTATCACCTAGCTAACGGCTGTTGTTAAGGAGCTGTTTGTATGGGCGGGGGGAACGCTCTGCCCTTCCTGCTCCCCCTACCTGCGCTAACTGCTGCGCCACAGCCTTCTGACACGCCGTGCCCTGTTTGCCCAGCCATGCCCTGCACCCCACATTTGGGGACCTCGCAGTAGCACGATTCTCAGAGAACCCCTTTCCCCCCCATTATTTTATTCCCAACTCAGGTAGCCATGCCTTTAACAGCAGCTTCAATTTTTCTTCCTTTACTCTCACCGTCTCTGCATGGTCACGCTGGTAGAACCGCAGGGTGGCACGGGCCGTGGTCCCGCTCTGCTCTCTTCCTTTCACAGAAGGACGCTTTCCCCAATACCTCAGACACTGTTTTGTACAGCCTGGGAGGAAGATAGTCTCTCCTCACTGGTGGACCTATTCCAAATCTTTCTCCACAGCCGAGACGCAGGCCAGCAGGGAAGAGGAGAGGCTTTCTTCATACTGCTTTTGACTTACATGTTGTGAAAGCGGCATTTCTTTTAGGAACAGCACAGTCTCGCAACTTCCACTTAGTGAAAGTTATGATAACTCCACCTTTACCTTCCCCATCGGTTTCTACTCACTGCAAGGCATAATCTGAGTGCACATTAGGGCACCTTTTTCCACACTGCCTGTTGTCGAATCCTAACAAATAATTAAGAACATTCTTCAAAGTCAGGCTTACCTGTAAACACTTGAGCTTCTGAGTTGGTGGGGCTTTCTTTTTAGCTTTCATTCTCATTATATTTGGAAGGGCTGGAAAGGGAGCTTAGAAGCCACGGAAGTAATTTCACTGAAAACAGACAAGGTGAAGGAAGTACTCAAACTCCTCGACATTAAAGAACCGTAGGACCCAGGAACACTTACCTGCCAGCTACTGAACTTGAGTCACTTCCACACTGCTTCACAGTGACTTTGCGCCACCAGGGTCTCACCGTACTGAGAGGGCACCAACAACGTAGCTAGCTCATAGAGTCACTAAAACTGTTTCACAGAGATGGGAGAAAACGTGAAGAAAAACCTGACCTTAGTGTGGGAGAAGTCCAGTCGAGGCCCTCTCACTCGGCAGTCAATACCCAGAGGGGTTACCTCCCTCGGTAGACCATACACACCGCAGTGGAGGGTCCTGCCCTGGTCTTGCCTTCTCCCTTTCCTCACTTCAAGCTTGTCCCCTTTATTTGGCATCCTTAATTCATGCAGAGCCTCGTTGCCAGAATATTAGTTCTTCCTTAGCTTGAGTTTCAGTTTCCCAGGAGCGGACTCAACCCTCCAAGTTTCAGTAGTTACTGGTCCTTTTATTCTGGATGCATGGGTCCCTTTCTGCGGTTCTCACAGCTGTTTCAGTAGTCAGTAAAACAAGGTACAGTCCCTCACATTGAGGGTTCAGTGATTCTTCCCTCCCGTGGCTGCTTGTTGAAACACTTTCTTTTTTATCTTCTGACAAGTTAAATAACAGTTATCTAATTTGCTTTGCCATATGGCCCTTTCCAGGTTCCTGTAGCAGGATTCATCTGATAGCCTTTCAGGTTGATACAGATTTGACTACAGATACCAGGGTTTTGGCATTCCTCACTATCTCCACAGTTTCCCAGCTGGACAGTCACATTCATTTATGTTGCATTCCTTCAGGGGCTCATCACCCCAGTCCTTGCAGTCTCTCTGCTGGTTACACACTTTATTGATATCTATGCATTCTCCACTTCTGCACTTGAATTTGTCAGGTCCAGAGCACTGAATAACATTGTTACAGTTTGCTTCATCAGTGCTCTCCAGACAGTCTCTCACACCACTGCACTGCCTACTCCCATGGACACAGTTCCCATCTTCACATCTGAACTGGTCCAGGAAGGGCAGTTCATTTCATCACTTCCATCCTTGCAATAAGGATCTCTGTCACATCACCACTTCTTGTAGATACATTCACCTGAGCCGCACTGCACCTCACTCACAGAACACTTCACCGGAGGTGCAGGCTGGCAGCCACAATGCTCCAAAGATTCATCCGAATGGTCGGAGCAGTCACCTTGACCATTGCAGACAAAGCTTTTGGAAATACATTGTCCACTACTGCATGTGAACTCTGCTGCACTACAAGTCACATTGCCATAATTCTCTTCATCTTCTCCACTGTCACAGTCTTTTTCACCATCACATTTCCATAACACTGTTCTCATATGACACAGCTCAGCACTTTCGTCGGACCCATCTTCACAGTCTGGATCCCCATCACACTGCCAAATGTTTGGCACACACTGACCACTGTTGCACACAAAGTCAGATTCAGCACACATCTTCTTCACATATCTTCTTCACACAAGCACTCTCATCACTGCCATCTGAGCAGTCTTCACATTTTGCTCTAGCACTGTTGGCAGCAGTGCACAGTCAGGCGAGGGCGAGCAGTAGGCAGAGCGCCCCGCACCGTCAGCTGTGTCACTTATACTACTCCTATTACCCATGCTATTAGTGTCAGTGGAAACAGAAACAACAACAGAAACAATGGCGGTGAGGCCTGGCGGCGGCGGCGCTGGCGCCGCCCGCCCGGTACCAGCCACGGAGGCAGCTGTATCACTTCCAGCCGCCTCCGGGTCACTGGTGCGCAAGGCCCACGTCAAGCGCGCGGCAGCTGCGCCCCTGCCGGAGGCTCCCGAGCAGAAACAGTGCCGCTCCGGGCCCCTAGCGGCCTGGGCTCCCAGCAACTGCGCCCCGTTGTGGGCTATCAGCATCCCAACGGCACCAGCGAGGCCGCACCTCGAGTACTGTGTTCAGTTTTGGGCCCCTCGCTACAAGAAGGACATTGAGGTGCTTGAGCGGGTCCAGAGAAGGGCGACGAAGCTGGTGAGGGGCCTGGAGAACAAGTCCTACGAGGAGCGGCTGAAGGAGCTGGGCTTGTTCAGCCTGGAGAAGAGGAGGCTCAGGGGCGACCTTATTGCTCTCTACAGATACCTCAAAGGAGGCTGTAGCGAGGTGGGGGATGGCCTGTTCTCCCACGTGCCTGGTGACAGGACGAGGGGGAATGGGCCTAAGTTGCGCCAGGGGAGTTTTAGGTTAGATGTTAGGAAGAACTTCTTTACTGAAAGGGTTGTTAGACACTGGAACAGGCTGCCCAGGGAGAAGACAAGGGGCCTGGAGGATGACATCCGCTCTCTGCGCACGGAGCTGCAGCAGTCTCGGGAGGAGTGCTCCAGGTGGCAACGGGAGATGGAGCTGGGCGAGTGGCGGCGGCTGGCGGCTGAGCTCCATCAGCGGAGCGCGGCCGAGCAGCGGCGGCTGGCGGCCGAGCTCCAGCAGCGGCACCGGGAGCTTGAGGAGCTCCGGGTGGCGGCGCGGGACCGGGATTAGCGCCTGGGGGCCGTCCAGATTTTGGGGGCTCTTCCCCGAATTCTGCTTGGCTTTTCCTGCAAACTTTGGGGGAGTTTCCACCAATTCTGTGCGTTTCCCAACCAAATCTTGGCAAAGCTGCAGGAGGTGTCGGGGGCACTGTCGCGGCACGAGGCGGAGGCGTCGGAGCTGGAGCTGGAGAGGCGCCGCCTGCACAACCATCTGCAGGAGCTCAAGGCTTAGAGGCGGGATCATTGCAGACAAATATGATCTATGTAATATGAAGTGTTCCGGCGTGCTTACGCTCTGCCAAAGGCCAGAAAATGGGACCTTCATTTTAAGACTGTATCGAAAAGGAAACAGAAACAACGGTGGCGAGGCCCGGCAGTGGCAGCGCTGGCGACGCCCGCCCGGTACCGGCCACGGAGGCGGCTGCGTCACTTCCAGCCGCCTCCGGGTCACCGGTGCGCAAGGCCCACGTCAAGCGCGCGGCGGCTGCGCCCCTGCCGGAGGCTCCCGAGCAGAAACGGCGCCGCTCCGGGCCCCTAGCGGCCTGGGCTCCCAGCAACCACGCCCCGTTGTGGGCTATCAGCATCCCGACGGCACCAGGCCCAGGACTTCCCCGCAAGGCTGTGACCTTCGCCGCAGCCCCCCAGGCCGGTAAAAAGGCCTCGGGGGCGGCTTCGGGATCGGCAGCGCCGCCTCCGGTACCGGGGGTGCTGCGGTGGGCAGCGGGGGACCCGACGGGGCAGCTGGCAGAGCTGCGGGAGAAGACGAGGGGCCTGGAGGATGACATCCGCTCTCTGCGCACGGAGCTGCAGCAGTCTCGGGAGGAGTGCTCCAGGTGGTAACGGGAGGCAGAGCTGGGCGAGTGGCGGTGGCTGGCGGCCGAGCTCCAGCAGCGGCACCGGGAGCTGGAGGAGCTCTGGGTGGCGGCGCGGGACCGGGAGGAGCGGCTGGGGGCCGTCCAGATTTTGGGGGCTCTTCCCCGAATTCTGCTTGGCTTTTCCTGCAAACTTTGGGGGAGTTTCCACCAAATCTGTGCGTTTCCCAACCAAATCTGGGCAAAGCTGCAGGAGGTGTCGGGGGCGCTGTCGCGGCGCGAGGCGGAGGTGTCGGAGCTGGAGCTGGAGAGGCGCCGCCTGCACAACCAGCTGCAGGAGCTCAAGGCACAGCTGCGGGATGTGTCGGGGGCACTGTCGTGGCATGAGGCGGAGGTGTCGGAGCTGCGGTATAATTCTTCTATTATTTTAATTTTTCCGGGAAACTACAGGCCGGTCAGTTTGATTTCAGTACCAGGGAAGCTCATGGAGCAGATTCTCTTGAGAGTCATCTTGCGGCACTTGCAGGGTAAGCCAGCGATCAGGCCCAGTCAGCATGGGTTTAGGGAAGGCAGATCCTGCTTGACGAACCTGATCTCCTTCTATGACAAAGTGACATGCTGGGTGGACGAGGGAAAGGCTGTGGACGTGGTCTACCTTGACTTCGGCAAGGCATTTGACACCGTCTCCCACAGCATTCTCCTCAAGAAACTGGCTGCTCTTGACTTGGACTGGCGCACGCTTCGTTGGGTTAAAAACTGGCTGGATAGGCGGGCCCAAAGAGTCTTGGTAAATGGAGTCAAGTCCAGTTGGAGGCCAGTCACTAGTGGCGTCCCCCAGGGCTCGGTACTGGGGCCAGTCCTCTTTAATATCTTCATCAATGATCTGGACGAGGGCACTGAGTGCACCCTCAGTAAGTTTGCAGATGACACCAAACTATGCGCATGTGTCGATCTGCTCGAGGGTAGGAAAGCTCTGCAGGAGGATCTGGATAGGCTGCACCGATGGGCTGAGGTCAACTGCATGAAGTTCAACAAGGCCAAGTGCCGGGTCCTGCACCTGGGGCGCAATAACCCCAAGCAGAGCTACAGGCTGGGAGACGAGTGGTTGGAGAGCTGCCAGGCAGAGAAGGATCTGGGAGTGATGGTGGACAGTCGTCTGAATATGAGCCAGCAGTGTGCTCAGGTGGCCAAGAAGGCCAACGGCATCCTGGCTTGTATCAGAAACAGTGTGACCAGCAGGGCTAGGGAGGTGATCGTCCCCCTGTACTCGGCTCTGGTGAGGCCGCACCTCGAGTACTGTGTTCAGTTTTGGGCCCCTCGCTACAAGAAGGACATTGAGGTGCTTGAGCGGGTCCAGAGAAGGGCGACGAAGCTGGTGAGGGGCCTGGAGAACAAGTCCTACGAGGAGCGGCTGAAGGAGCTGGGCTTGTTCAGCCTGGAGAAGAGGAGGCTCAGGGGCGACCTTATTGCTCTCTACAGATACCTCAAAGGAGGCTGTAGCGAGGTGGGGGATGGCCTGTTCTCCCACGTGCCTGGTGACAGGACGAGGGGGAATGGGCCTAAGTTGCGCCAGGGGAGTTTTAGGTTAGATGTTAGGAAGAACTTCTTTACTGAAAGGGTTGTTAGACACTGGAACAGGCTGCCCAGGGAGAAGACAAGGGGCCTGGAGGATGACATCCGCTCTCTGCGCACGGAGCTGCAGCAGTCTCGGGAGGAGTGCTCCAGGTGGCAACGGGAGATGGAGCTGGGCGAGTGGCGGCGGCTGGCGGCTGAGCTCCATCAGCGGAGCGCGGCCGAGCAGCGGCGGCTGGCGGCCGAGCTCCAGCAGCGGCACCGGGAGCTTGAGGAGCTCCGGGTGGCGGCGCGGGACCGGGATTAGCGCCTGGGGGCCGTCCAGATTTTGGGGGCTCTTCCCCGAATTCTGCTTGGCTTTTCCTGCAAACTTTGGGGGAGTTTCCACCAATTCTGTGCGTTTCCCAACCAAATCTTGGCAAAGCTGCAG